TGTGTCTACTTTGTGTTCTGTGGTGATGGTGAGGATTCTAAGGTAAATAGGCTGAGTACCTACCCTCAGGAAACTTAACAGTTTAGTGGAAATGTAAGTAACTGTGCTGCAACATTAGTAGATAATAGAGGTATAGGGTTATGAGAACTGGAAGTGGGACACTGACTAGGACGAGAGGTATTCCTATTTATTCATCCTGTTTCTAATACCTTAAATGGTCTTTCCTTTTATACTCAGTGCCCTCTTATCTTGAAGGTCTGGCTCTAAACTAGGAAGCCAGAACAGTCTTTTTCTTAATTTCATAAGAGATCCTGTTCAGCATGCAGTCACTGCTGTATCCCAGGGCCTAAGTGCCTACCAGATGTAAATCCTCAGAATTGGATGGATGGCGGGTGGGTACATGGGTGGATGATCAAGCATAAAAAAGTGTCATCCTGCCATCAGGGAGTGTACAGTCTACTGTAAACATTTGGAAAGGCACTTTTGCTTTGATTTCATGAGTTATCCTTTCAGTTAAGTCATTTTTGCTTAACATGAAAGATCCTTTTAAGTAACAAAAGTCACACTGTCGGGTGTATACTCACTTCCCATTTTTGGAATGGAACTGTATTTGTCTGCTCTGGAAATTTTTGCTTCAAACATTTAGGAGGAAAACAATTGCAAAGATAACATTGTTCATCAGAGCCTGAATGCTAAGCCTGGTTTTGCAATTTACCAGCTCTGTGACCTTGGTTAAGTAACTAAGCCTTTCATGCCTCATTTTCCTAACTTTGCAGTCTCTCCTTGTGTAAAATGGGAATAAGCCATGGCTGGGTAGCTTAGTTGGTTAAAACGTTGTTCCAATATGGCAAGGTTGTGGTTTTGATCCCTGATTAGGGCACATACAAGAATCAACCAATGAATGCATAAATTAAGTGAAACAACAAATCAAAGTCTCTGTCTGTCTTTCTCTCTCAAATTAATAAATTTTAAAAAAGGCTTTCTTTAAAAAAATAAAGTGGGAATAACAGACCTACACCTCATGTTATTGAGAAAATTATAGGAGTTAATTCATGTAAACTGCTTAAGAATGGATGTCTCATATAGTACTCAATAACTGATGAGCATTGTAATTATTGTAATCACAGATTTTTATTTCTATGAGAAGCTGGTAACAAACATTTAAATGCTAGCTATAAGCTTTACACATCAAATTTAAGCATTATTATGTAAGCCAAAGCAATTTTGATAATTCTGGAATCTGGATGATGGAGGTTTGAGGGCTCAGTATACTATTCTTTTTTGCATATTTTTGAAAATTTTCATAATACAATTTATTTTTTAATCCTCACCCGAGGATATTTTTCCATTGCTTTTCAGAGAGAGTAGAAGGGGGGCAGGGAGAGAGAGAGACTGGTTGGTTGCCTCCCACAAGCACCCTAATTGGGACTGGGGACGAGCCTGCAACCTAGGTACGAGCCCTTGGCCAGAATCACCCAGGACCCTTCAGTCTGCAGCCAACACTCTAACCACTGAGCAGAACCGGCTGGGACTCATGATAAAATTTAAAATCAGAAATATGGGGCAAAGGTGGGGGCTCCATTAGATCATGCTGAGTACTTCCTTTTGGAGATTTATAATGACCTTAGCACGTGAAGATAATGCTAACCCGTCCTGAAGTAAAGAAACCTATTAGGCTGTATTTAATCCTGCATTTTTCAAATTTTGGGAAGACTTTGGAAATGCTGGCCTAGGGATTTTTTGAGGGGAGAGGTTGTTTTTTGTATTTTAAAAAATTCTTTGCATTCAACATGATTTTCCTCCCTCAGGTCTGCTACAATCACTTATTTAAGCCGGTTAGATCATCTGATTGAGATTGGCCATGTCAGCTGTTAACAGAGGGAGCTCTCCCAGAATGGTGAATCTAAAAAAGGATTTACCAGCTTTCTAGGGCCATTGTATCCTGTAGGCCTTTCCTAGTGCCATAGGCCCTTCCCTTTCCTTTCCTGTCATATCATCCAAAAATTGGATTTCTTAATGCTTCATGTAGGAGACAGACGAAGCTTGCCTGGAATGAAAACATCCCTGGAGAGATTAGACTGTGACTAACTCTCATTTCCAGCATGTAAAGGCAGCGGATTAGATTAAGAAATAAATAACATAATACTGTGCTTCGTTTGGCATAGGGTTTTGGTTTGGTTGCCTAAGAAATAAATGAATTTGTTCCCTGAGAACTTGGAGAAATATGGCTTTAGTACTAGAACTGCACAGTCAAGGTTATCCCCAGGATTTGGAACTAGGGACAGAGGGTACTCTTTTTTTTTTTTTAAATATATCTTTATTGATTTCAGAGAGAGGAAAGGAGAGGGGGAGAGAGAGAGAGATAGAAACATCGATGATGAGAGAGTCATTGATCAGCTGTCTAGCCCACAACCCAGGCATGTGCCCTGACCAGGAATCGAACTCCCATCTCCTGGATCCTAGGTCGATGCTCAACCACTGAACCATGCCCTACCGGGCGAGGGTACTCTTAATGGTTATATCTGATCCAGAAAAATCCCTCCTTTGTTTATTTTGGCGTTAGAGCTCCAGTAGTATGTATGAATGCCACCCAGATCAGTTCATCTGAAGGGGATTCCCATTGACTAGGAGCTACCAGGAAAAGACTCTGTCCCTAAGTCCCAAAGACACTTTTATTTCAAGCCACCCCTCCATGATAAGACCCCAGCTGTTCCTGTGGTGCTCATTATTGTGGCAAATGGCCAAAGCATCTTTATGTCAGCCTGTGACTTCCCTAATGCTTGTTGGCTGTTCTTTGTCTCCAGTGGGACTGATGATGTCTTGTAACCCTTATGTGATTGTTTTAGATTCTCTAACTGTGCTCATCATAAAATTGAGTGCTTTTTGAAGGCATTTTTGATGAGGTTTAAATCTCAAAAGGACCAATGTAAAAGTGTTTTGTTTGCTACAAATCTTACAAAATTCTCTGGATCTTAATATTTTTCATATTTGAGAAGGTATTGTCTCTGCCATTTTTATGGTTTTAAATACAAATCTTTAGTGGCTGAGAATAGGATTTGACTTGTAAATGAGGCCACAGACTAGGCTTCCCAGGACCCTAATTTCTTTTTTTCTTTTTCAATTTATTGAGGTGACATTGGTTAATATGATCATATAGGTTTCAGGTGTGGATTTCTCTGTTACAAGATCTGTATATTGCACTGCATGCCCACCATCCAAAGTCAAATCTCCCGTCACTTTATATTAGCCTAATTTATTTTAAAGAACCACTAAAAATGCCTGAAAAAACCTTGAAACTTTTAAGGAGCTCAATTTGAAAACAAAAATTTATTAGACTTACTTTTAAAAAAGGTTTGGACCGATATTAACACAGGCAGATTTAGTTTCTCTTTTATAAGAATTGACATTCAAAATGAGTTACAAAAGAAGGCAGCCTTTCCTACATTTCTGATATTTAAGAATAGAAGATTGAATTTACTTATACTAAGCGTCAGACTTTAAGAAAACTGACTGCTGGAAGAAGTAATTTTCTTGACCATTTTACATTTACAAAATAGTATATTAAACTGTCTGGATTCCTTGCTGGGTAGTTCTTGCAGAACGCACTGTCACATCTCTGGCTGCCCATAACCTTTTTTGACATCAGTGGCATGCACTAAAGTAAAAAGTCTAACGTGCTGTGTTTTCCTTTGTGGGCAGGTACATTTCAAATAGGAAATTTGCTTGATTGAAGTTACTGCTACTTTGCATAATACATAATTAGTGGAAAGTTTCCTAGCCTTCTCTTGGACACTATAGGTAGATAATTCTATGCTTAAATAAATTTTCATATGTATGGTGGAAAAGGATTGAAAGAAAGCATAATGTTAACAGTGATTTTCTTAAACTTGAATTCCTAAGGTTATGATGTGTCAGTAACAGAGATGAAAATAAATTCCAAGAATCTTGACAGTGTTCTGTTTTCCAGCAGGCTTTTTGTGATTATGTTTGTGTTTAACTGTATTTGTTAAGCTCTTTGTCCTTCATTATGAAACTAGATTAACTGCCTCCTGGTTAGTTTCCTAACAATTCCAATAATAAATTTTAAATTGTGTTTCTCTTAAACCGTTAACCCTTTTAGTCAGATAAATTTTATATATCTAGATGCTCTAAAGATTTAGAAGTATTCCTGTTAACCCTGTTCTCTCTTAGAGTTTTTTCTCTGTGGATATGTAGATCTCCTGCTAGCAGCTCTGAAAGTTAGGGTTCCAGAGTGTGGAAATTATTCTATAATTGTTAAAATTATCTCTTATTGGTACTGCCCTGTCCATGTTAAGTCAAAATATCAGGTAGTAGAAAGCAGTGTTTTTATTTCAGGGCTTTATGGGGAGAATAGTTAAAGTTTTTATTTTTTTCTTGTGTCTCACTGTATTTATAACTTCTCTTAAAACTACTATGGAACAAGTAACCTAAAGATACTTAGTTTCAACTGCTCACCAGTTTCAACTGTTCACCACTGTTCCTTCCCCCTCTTTCAGTAAAATGCCCAATTTTACAGATTAAAGATCAATTTAAGCAGTTTTGTCTAAGGTAGAAAAACAACAAACTGATCACTTATCTGCTCTTTGTATGTGTACTGGTATCAACCTTAATTGTTTTGAGTGTCAGATTATAATAACTAGTGACTGCTTCTAAGGATTAAAAAATCAAAATTTTTTTTCTAGTCTAAATAACCTTTTCCTGTGATTTGCCCCTCCCCGCCGTGATTTGAATTGCTCTTTCTATAACTATTTATTTACATTAGTCTGATATGTTGCTTTTTACTGTCATAGAAAATATATAATTGGTATATTTTATGGCTCAAAATTGCAGCTAACACCGATTCATAATTAAAGTTTAACTATTTACATCTTCTGAAATTTTTACATATGAATTTGACATGTCATTATTTGCAAATAAAAGCAGTTTTCAATAGCTTGCTTTTTTTTTACTGTGCAATTTGAGGTACATTTGAAAATATGATTAAAATTATTTTTGTTTTATATCAAGAAATGGATGAAAAGAGGCTGCTGGATCCAGGGTTGAAAGTTCGTAAAGGCCTCTGGGATTATACTCTGAAGAGCCAGCAGATGGAATGCCTGAGTGACTGAAGAAAATGGGTGCTAATGCATCTAACTATCCTCATTCATGTTCCCCGAGGGTAGGGGGAAATTCTCAAGCCCAACAGACTTTTATAGGTAACTGTTTTAGTTTTTCTAACTTCATTTTCTTTTGTGAATATAAGTAGAATTGTGTTTTCAGTGGTCTTTTAACATGAAAAAAGATAATTGAGCTGTGAAAAAGTTATAGATAATAATTCTGCAGCATCCAAGATTTTTTCCCCAACAAATGTAAATCTTCTCTGTCCTATTCCTTATTTAATATAAAAAAAGTTATTTGAACTTTCTATCTTTATAAAAACAAAATCAGGGTTTTTTTAACGTTTCAGGAATGTCTATAAAAATTTTTTCATGAAATATGTGTTAATGCTGAAAATAAATGTTAAAAAAGAAAGAAAGACATTTTCATTTGTTTAATTTTCTTCTTAGGAACATCATCCTATTCTCAGCAAGGCTATGGTTGTGAATCAAAACTATATAGCCTTGACCATGGCCATGAGAAACCACAAGACAAAAAAAAGAGAACCTCTGGCCTTGCCACCCTCAAAAAGAAGTTTATTAAACGTCGAAAATCTAATAGGTCTGCTGATCACGCCAAACAGATGCGAGAACTCCTCTCTGGGTGGGATGTTAGAGATGTCAATGCATTAGTGGAGGAATACGAGGGAACTTCAGCCTTAAAGGAGCTTTCTCTACAAGCCAGTTTGGCTAGACCAGAAGCCCGGACATTGCAGAAAGATATGGCCGATCTTTATGAGTATAAATATTGTACTGATGTGGACTTAATATTTCAAGAAACTTGTTTTCCTGTTCATCGTGCCATTTTGGCAGCAAGGTGTCCATTTTTTAAAACACTGCTTTCCTCCTCACCTGAGTATGGGGCAGAGATCATAATGGACATCAATACAGCTGGTATAGATATGCCTATGTTTTCTGCTTTGTTACACTACCTTTATACGGGAGAGTTTGGAATGGAGGACTCAAGGTTTCAAAATGTCGATATCCTGGTTCAGCTTAGTGAAGAATTTGGAACACCAAATTCCCTTGATGTAGATATGCGTGGACTTTTTGATTACATGTGTTATTATGATGTCGTCCTTAGTTTTTCTTCAGACTCCGAACTGGTTGAAGCTTTTGGTGGAAATCAGAACTGTTTAGAGGAAGAGCTCAAAGCTCACAAGGCTGTTATCTCAGCACGGTCCCCATTTTTTCGAAATCTGTTGCAAAGGAGGATACGAACTGGTGAAGAAATCACAGACCGAACTTTGAGGACTCCCACAAGAATTATATTAGATGAGTCCATTATACCAAAAAAATATGCAAAAGTTATATTACACTGTATGTATACCGACGTGGTGGACCTCTCCGTTTTGCACTGTAGCCCCTCTGTGGGGAGTCTCAGTGAAGTTCAGGCTCTCGTCGCAGGGAAACCAAACATGACCAGGGCAGAAGAAGCCATGGAACTTTACCACATAGCACTGTTCTTGGAGTTTAACATGCTTGCACAAGGTATGAAATTCTGATTTTTAATTTTGCTTTCTAAAATTACACATTTGTCTCCCAGATTGAAAACACAACCAGTATTTTCCGTGATTTCAGTGTTTGGCATGTGAAAGGGTCAGTTTATTTTGAATGTGTAGTTATGACAGCTAAGACAGAATTTACAGTTAGTATTAATGTGGCACTTCATTTAGTATTAAAACCAAGCATTCAAAACTGGTGACTAAGAGCAACAGATAAGACTTAAGGCTCTTTCTTTCCTAATGTAAGACCATAGGTATAGGAATGTATAATTACCTAGCTACTACCCACCTACACCCTGTCTGCACCCAAGCTTTGAACTAGCCCTGTTTCCCATATTTCAAGGTTATACTTAATCTCGGACTTCTTGGATAATTTAGATTTTCTTACTTATACTCAGTGCCTTGTTGATGCTGATGTGTTTAGAATAAGAATGAAAGTTCATAATAACAATGAAGATAGTTATATTTGGATACAAATTTATTTGATTCAAAGAATTGGGCAGGGTTTCGGATTTAAAATTTAAAATATTCTGTATTTTTTCAAGCTCAACTTGTATATCAAAGCTGAAAAGAGATCCTCCACAGGAGAGCAGGGGGTAATTGCTGTCTTGACAGAGTGCATTTTTAGCTTTCTATGACCATATATTAAAAGAAAACAAGTTATATGACATAAAATTACATGAGAAGTTTAGCTAATGAGTATTTGCTAAAGGAACATTAGAAGTTGCCAGTTAGAAGAGAGTGTTAATGATTTGGGTAAAAGAGAAATTTATAAAGGAAAGCTAAGCACATTTTTCTAACTTGAAAATAATATATATTGTATGGCTAAATCAACAAATTAATAGGACTTTGAGAAAGAAAAAATAAAATGAAAGCCCCAGTTAGGATAACAGTGTCAACAATAAAATGAGAGGAATTGTACAGAAGAAGACTGATAAACATGAGTGAAAAAGTTATTTCTGTTACGTAAAAAAATTTTTTAAGTCTTATTTTACCATTATCCTTTTAGTAATAGTACTAATTCTGTTTAATGATCACAGTCAAAATGTAATTAAAATATTTTTCTATTAATCATTATACTAATAATAGACTATTTAGATGTCAGACAGTAGGAAAATACGTTATCAAAAATAACCTAGCCCTGGCGGGCATTGCTCAATAGTTAGAGCATCACCCTGTGCACCGGAGGTCTCGGGTTCAATTCCTGGTGAAGGGCACGTACCTAGTTGCAGGCTTGATCCCTGCCACCAGTCAGGGTGCACGTGGGAGGCAACCAATCGATGTCTCTCTCTCACATCGATGTTCTCATTCTCTCTCCCGCCTCCTCCCTTCCACTCTCTCTAAAAATCAATGGAAAAATATCCTTACTTCTTGGGTGAGGATTAAAATAAATAACTGGCAGCTTGACCTTTTATTCTATAAAACCAAATTTTTCAGAAAATGCCTCTACAGAAAAATTTGAAGGTTGCAACATTACCAAAAAGGTATAATCTCTCTCCTCAAATTGGTTTTATTTTTGACATGTTTAAAAAATAAGAAACTAAAGTATATCATATATACTTTGCTGTTTTAAAAAATGAGAAAGCATTCCTTCATACAGGATATACCATAAAGCATTCCTACAGTTTTTTTGTTTGTTTTTTAAATATGTTTTTATTGATTTCAAAGAGAGGAAGAGAGAGATAGAAACATCAATGATGAGAGAGAATCATCAGCTGCCTCTTATACACCTCCCACTAGGGACTGAGCCCACAACCCGGGTATGTGCCCTGACAGAATCGAACCATGACCTCCTGGTTCATGGGTCAGCGCTCAACCACTGAACCACACTGGCCAGGCTGTTTTAAATTTTGAATATAAAGTAAAATTATGAGCCAGCTCTTAGATCTTAGGTAATACTTGATCTAGAGTTCTTTTATATTAAGTGAGATAATTTTTTAAATCATTTAGCTAGAAATTGTATTGTTTTGTACCTTTAAGATAGAAAACAACATTCCCTATATTACCTAAATCTCAGTTACTTAAAAATTTTCCCTTAAAGTTTTGTGTTTATGTGGCTCTGTTTCCTTTCATTACTCAAAATACCGAGTTTGGGTTACTTGGCCATTTGTTTCTTGCACTCCATGTAGGCCTTATCCTTTCTCCATACCCGTGATACTGTTGTTAAGGTTTATAACAGACCATACTTCAACATAATTTTTACCTCATTTCCATGGGAAGGAGAATATTTGGTCACTTAGGAAGGTATTTTATACCATAAAACTTAAAAGCTCAGGTGCTGGAACCAGACAAACTGGATTTCAGTCCTCCAGTACCATGTTTTAACTTGTATAATACTCTGAGGCATCTATTGTGTGTAATGAATTAGCATCTCTCCTATGCATCCAGCATGATACTACTTATGAATCCTTTTGGAGAGAATCAAGAAAATAGTCACCAAAATTATTTTCTGTGATTCATACAGTCTCCCAGTTAAGAAAGGCTGTAAGACTAGCCCATTGGGCAATTTGAGGGTGGGACCATATTGTTCTCATCTTTGCATTCCCAATACCTGGCACATAGTAGGCACTCAGTAAGTGGTTTGGATGAATTAATGAAAGTTTAAAGCCCATTTTTTAAAAGGAGACAAATTCTATTAAGGGAGGCTGGGACCTTAAAACTAAATATGCCCTTCAAGGTGGAGAGGTGATTTAATAGTTTCAAGAGCATCATAAAAAGAGGCGTTATAGGCAGACAGCAAGAGTGGTTTGGCAAGTGGATAAAAGGGAGGCTTCCTGGCCTACACCGAGAATGCGCTTTATTCATACAAGTAGGCAGTTACTATTAGGTGAATTAACAGGTAATGGGGCTGGCATTTTCGGACCAGATTTAACTTCACGTGATTTCCTACATAACAGATGGAATATACATTTATTTCTTTTCCCTCCAAAGCCCTAATGTTACAGTACAGGAATAAAACAAGTGTAAACCCTCAAGGACAAAGATAACTGAGAAGAAAACAACAGTGGAAAAAAGGGTATAGAAATGATTAGAAGCTGGAAAGCAGATAAATAACTGATTACTTCTTTGTTACTTAACAAAGAAGAGAGATATATAACTCTATAGCCTATAAAGGGTCTACTGAAAAGAAAGGCAATTCACAGAGGGTACTAAGTACTCTGAAAATCAGGAATAAGCATGGCGTAGAACTAAAAAGAGACATTTAATTTTAAGTCACCTTTATGTATGGTGTTAGAAAGGGATGGGGTTTTGTTTCACTCCATGTGATGTAGTTTCTGAGTACTCTATTAAACAATGCATTTCCCCTCCCTAATTTGTACCACTTCTTATTAAGTTCCCATGTATATGTATGGGTCAGTACTTTCATTTTGTTTCAGTGGCTCATTTGTCTGTTCTTAACCAGTATCACTTGTAGCCAGGTGGCAAATCCTGACCTGTCCTTTCATTTCCCTTCTCCACCCCCATGTCCCCAACTAAACACAAGAGGCCTGAGATTTGTTTTCTAAGGAAATTGAACTAGAAAGATTCCAAATCTGGAAATAGCTACAAAGGGGTGGGGTGGAGTAGGGTGGTGAGGTACAAGGTTGAAGTCTGGAATTATGTGAACACCTACAAACTAAGTAGTAAAATCATCCCCTTGCCTTCCCCTGTCTAGTCCAAGCCAGGCAGATACAAGACAATAAATTAGAGCTCTAGAAATGGTAATAGCCCATAGGTACTGGTGTTTTGGAGCTCCACAATAAAGTTATGTTCAGGAGTTACACAATGAAAAAGCCAGTTAGCCTCCTGTTCTACAAAGAAGAATACAGTAGTTCCCCCTTATCCACCATTTCAGTGCCATTCTGAGTAGTATAAAATACTGTTCTGTCCTGCTCCGTCCCATCCAGGACATGAATCATTCCTTTGTCCAGTGGCTCCACGCTGTGTATGCTATCCACCCATTAGTCACTTAGTAGCCACTTTGGTTATCAGATTGACGGTCTTAGTGCACAGAGCTTACATTCAAGTAATCCTTATCAGAGCCCAGTGCTGTCACAGAGCCTATGTCATTCACCTCACTTCATCTCATCACGTAAGCATTGTATCATTTCACATCACAGAAAGGGTGAGTATAGTATAATAAAATATTTTGAGAGAAACCACATTCACATAACTTTTATTACAGTATTCTGTATTATACTATACAGAATATTGTTCTATATTATTATAACTTGTTAATCTCTTACTGTGCCTAATATATAAATTAAATTTTATTACAGGGATGTATATATAGGAAAAAACATAATATATATAGTGTTCGGTACTGTCTGGTTTCAGATATCAATTGGGGGCATCCCCCATGGATAAACGGGGGACTACTACAGTCAGCAATCCTGCTTGTGCAGCAGAGCTTCCAAATAACTGTTTACTGCGTCACTCTTAAATATGAAAACCCATATAAGGCTCACTGGACATTTGAGAAAGACTTCCCAACTGAGACAGATTAGAACAAAAAGAGCAAAGTACTAGAACTAAGAATCAGACCGTGACTGAAGCAGAAAAAGTATTCAATAGAATAAAAATATTGTTATGTAAAAAAACATTATACTGACTTGAGACATAAATAGAATGCTATAAAAGTAAAAATGGGAGCTCTTAGAAATAAGGCAGCAAATATGAAGTATATAATAGGATTGAAAGGTAGAATTAAAGTAGGAAAGTAAAACAGATGGACAGCAGTGGGGGCAAATAAGAAAACTATAGTATTTATCTAGAAGGTATAACATCTTAACAGATAGTGGTTTTAGAAACGTACACCAGAGAAAATGGAAGAGAAGACAGTATTTAGCCCAGCCGGGCATGGCTCAGCGGTTGAGCATTGACCTGGGATCCAGGCGATCGTGGTTCAATTCCTGGTCAGGGCACATGCCCAGGTTATGGGGCTCGATCCCCAGTCGGGGGCATGCAGCCGATCAATGACTCTCTCCCTCTCCTTTCCTCTCTGAA